TCCCGAAGTATGCGAACCAAGATGGCGGACATCGGAACGTAACATGGGTAACAGGTTAGGGTTAGGCGATAATTTTTTTCCAATTTTCCTTATTTTAGTCCTATTATCAGTTCGAAGACTAGCCAAGAGCCCCCGTAGTATTTATACCTAAAATTATGGCCTAACCCTAACCTAGTGCACATATTACATTCCGATGTCCGCCATCTTGGTTCGCATACTTCGGGAGCCCCCTTTACTTTGATGAAGAGCGAACCGACCTCTCTTTTCCTTCCATCTCATTAGAATGCGATGATTTCGTTCTTCAACTGAAATTGTTTGTTTTGCTATAATCCCCTCGATGTCAGATTCTTTTAACCGAAGTCCGTACTTTGAACGGGCGAATTCGATAAATTCTGATTTGTCCCGGAAAACGGAGACAATCTCGTTTTGGAAGACTTCCTCCAGTTTTTCTGAAAAGAGGGCGGTAGAAAGTTTTTTGAGGGGGCGTGAACCCTATTAAAATATAATATTTGTTGGTTTTGATCTTTCCGCTTTATTCCGGATATTTACATTTCTTATTTTGTCAGCCAAAAACAACTGCACTAATAGAAATGACAATTTATTTTGCTTATCTATTTCATTATTGACGTTCCATTCACATATTTTCAACGTGTTTTTTGAATGCAACATACTTTCGCCGGAGCTCATGAAGTATGTGCACCAAGCTGTCGCACAACCTGAACATAGTATGTGTGTGTACCGGTTAGGATTCATGTTGTGCGACATCTTGGTACAATAGCCTACTTCTGGAGCACCCTTCAGGTATAATTACTACGGGAGTCACTTGGTTAGTCCCCGAACTCGTAATAGAACTAAGAAGAAAAATTGGAATAAAATAACGGCCAAACCCTAACCTAGTACATATACTACGTTCCGGTGTCCACCATCTTGGTTCACATACTTCAAGAGCGCAAATTAGAATCCCAATCGTCAGCATCCAAGTAAATACTTGGAGTTGCCTCCCACGTACCAGTTTCCCTAACAGCGTTTTCTTGGAGTTTTCAGGTCTGGTTTATTGTCTAACAGCAGGGTTGGGCAGCTCGAATCATCAATTTAACTCATCACTTATCAAAGTGACTCATACTCAGCTAACCGTCAGTGAGACTTACACAGGAATAGACTCAATCAAAGTTGAGAGACCTCTATCCAGCACTGTTTGAAACTACATTTTAATATCTTACCTTGTGAATGTTCCGCCATTCGCGATATTTTCCGTCATCACCGCTTCAACAGATTTTAACATTAAAGCCATTGCCTTACCACGAGATACGCTCATTTACACACCGCCGAGCATATTACGGGGATAAATTCTGCTAATTTTCAGTGGCCAGAGTTGGTTAAGATCTTGCGTATGCGACTCGATGCATATTAACTTATGATTGCAATAAATCAAATATGAGCTGCCTGTCGGTGTCAGTTTGCTGTTCAAACAGTTATCACAGGTAATGTCTAGTGTGGCGTGTCTAAGGTGTGTCGCATTGGTCCTCTTCCTTGAAAAACAATACTATGACGGCATATTTAGTATTGTGGCGTCACATTTCTATACTACGGACACAGTCTTCTAGCATAGAATATGGATATGAAGAACTAATGACGAATATGGCCATCGTATTGTGCGCAAAATTTGGGTAGAAATATTGATGTGAAAAATACAAGTTTTTTACTTTATCCATCCTTTACAATGAACAGTTATATATAGACTGGGGTAGAGCGGAGCAATTTTTCCCAACAAAGCGACAATAGGTTAGCAAAATTTTGTTACCAAAAACATGCGATGCGACATTCGTCAAATTCTCCATCTCCTATTTCGAGAAATTGTTTTTTTTCTTTTAAGGTACTTTCATTCGTAACCGTGTTTTCAGTGGGTTGAAACGAGAAACGTAAAGGTCTGCATGATATATTATCAAACACGATCTGTCTTTATCCTAAGTATTTTACAGACAACGGAAAAATGGGTAATGTCACTGAAATGACTAGTGTTATGGCTAGCTGAGGCAACTAGCGAAGTTGAATAATGTGCTAAATTGTTAACTGCTGGCTTTCCATCTTTTTTGTCGAAAAAATAGGCTAATAAAATAGGCTTCATAGGAAACTAAAAAACGAATAAGGAATTTATTAGCCTAGGTTGACTATGCCTGATAACTAAATATTATTAATCGCATGTATCTCAAATTTACTGAAATTCGGTAATCAATCAATCAGCAGTTATTTTGTAAACATGAGTTTGAAGAAAACTGACCAATTCAAACAGATTTTTGACTGGATATGGGAAGAAAAGTACCACAATGCTTGCTTGATATGTCTGCAAGTTGTGTCGGTGACAATCTAAAACGACATTTTCTCCTTATGACAGAGTTTGAAATCTTAAATTAAATGAAGATATAGTACGATTTGTGCAGATATTAGTGAGTTTTTGGTGGTTTTTGCGTGTTTTAGCTTGATAAATAACAAATAATGATCAATGTGTTTGGACAATAAAGGAGTTGTTTTGTATTGCACTGTTTATCTATTCTTGGCACTATTTTGGCCCGCGAACAATTCAAAAATAATAGTGTGGCCCGCGAGGTCGACAACCTTGGATCCACCTGATATAGGTTGAGTCGAGGTTCATTTTTACCGATATTATTTTCAATAAAGTGAAAGTCACGTTCAACTGACTTTCCGATCCAAACTTGGCACTTAATATAAAACGTTGAATAAAAAACGCAGTTGCTTGTGATGATTTCTCAGACCGCCTATAGGTTTGAATTCGTTGAAGGAGATCTGCTTTTGTTCCTGTTAATCTTCATACTTCGGAATACTAATTTGAAAAAATGATTATGAGGAGTAATTCAATCTGGCCCGCCTGATGCTACCACAACCAACTGAAACCAAATTTAGATGTTTTAGCTAAAAAATAGCCCAAGGAATTTGTCGAGATTGCGTTTAAATTGAGTTTTCGCACTTATCATTTCGAGGTTTATTGGTTTCCACTGTTGCCTTTGTAACACTGTAAATATTGTTCATAAAATGCAACCTTTCACGTCATACTTAGATAGCCCGCAAGTCTAGGTGGGCAAATTTTTTTGGCCCCTTGTACAAAATCGCGCCCATCCCTCATGGATGCGAAACATAAAACAGAGACAGTGCGAATCAGACAACCCTTGGTTCGATTCCGAGTAACATTCACTCGGTTCCATTACATTTGAACCCACGACAATTGCACCTGCATACTATTGAACCTAAGAATTTTTTTACGGATATTTGAACCCATACTAACCCTAACCAATGGGTATAACACGCATATAGATTGAACCCGCGGGTATACACATGGGTTCAAATGTACTGTCATTCATTCGTGGCCTTATGGCTTCCCTACAGCAGACACTCTCCCTGTCAGGATCTGATAATTTTTCGTTCGTACTGACGTTCGACTCGCGTTATATGAAATCTTGCCACACAATACCTAACAGCAACGATTACCAGACAACAATCTAGCTTAACTCGTTAACAGTGGCGCATCTAGTGTATAGAAATAATGGCTCGTGCCATGGGCGCCGTTTAGATTAGGGCGGACTCAGTAGAGGCGAGAAATTAAAATCGTAAAATTTGTTAATAAAAGAATTTTGAATTAAAACTCGTGTTGAATAATAACGCACGGTTATTTCAATTCAACAATATTCGTTAAATATTGTCAGTCAACGATCAATAGGGCTCATTTTCAAAACTCTGTAATGGCCGCCATTTTGTGTAGATACGCCACCGCTCGTTGTCAACTAAATGGAAGCGAGACTCAGCGTAGCGATTGTCACATTTCGGACCTGACTATTCAACACTGCATAATTAACCGATTTTCAACCAGTGGGCCATGTCTACTACTGGAACAGGGAAACATTTTCAGGTGCGTCACAAAACTATTTTTAAAGTTACATTGATAGATAAATGAATTTCGATTGTAGAAGCAATAAATGATGATGCTATTTTTTGAGTGGTAATTTACATCGTTAATATTAAAGTAGTTTTTTACCCTTGCATGATAGGCCACAAAATTTTTCTACAGCGAAAGTGGGCCGCGGAAGAAAAAGGTTGAGAACCACAGGCCTAACAGCAGCGCTTAACTGCCAAATACAATAGAAAAACCTTCGGATTTCTTGCTTCTAATCTTCATGACTCGAGTTCTTAAACTGAATAGACTTGTACTCGTACTCAGCTAACTAACCAAGCTTCGTGATCGATTGAAACACTGATGACCTGTACACTGCCTTATGACATCATAAGCGATAATTACGCATGTTAACTGCAATCGAAAGTCCCTGTATCCTGCTCCAGAAATGCGTGTACCAATATGGAGGTAACTAATTTTGTTCGCAGATTTTACATCAGGTTGCGTAAAGGGACTGAAACCCATGGGCATGGGGATATTCTCTTGGCTGACAATTACAGTCCACGAACTCGTAATAGAACGAAAAGAAGAAAAATCGGGATAATTTATGGCCTAACCTTAACTTGGTACACATACTACGGGAGTAACAATTCCTGCTCTTATCTCCTCAATTATCTGCCAAAAGACAAACGAGAATATCGTTCAGAGACCGAAGACTTATCGATCGAAATTTAGGGGATGCCCCAAAACAACGCTCTTACTCCATAGTGACACCTTGTGCCCCATCACTAATTAATTAATAACTCGCTAATTATACTACATAATTCATTCAAAATCAATAGGCTTCTGATACGACATATGATGAATGCACATGCATAATCTAGAGCAGATTCAATCTCGATTTCAAGAGATATCGCGTGCATCTAACAGACAGACAAATACCTATCAACATACTTACCGATTAAAATCGATAAGTAACAACGAGAAATAAATTTCACTTAGAATTCCGCTCTCTCAAATAATCATTGCGTCAGCTTACATGGTTGTTAAAACATACACGATATAGTCACAATTATATAGAAAGTAGCATAATCACATATTTCAATGTTCCAGCACAATTTTACTTCTAATACAGCTCTAGACAAGAGCAAAGAATTGGTTCCTATGGTATTGGGTAGACATCGATATTTTATGCCACACTTTAAACGAGACTACAACAAGCAGTAACTTACTAGCTTTGGCGAGGAAAAGAATCATTTGGCTCCTAAAAAAGCAGTAATTGATTATTTTCTGTGGTATTGGGTGGACATTGAAATTTTTATATTCTGTTAGATGTTTTCATACCTTACGTTTGAACTAGGCTGCTAAAATCAACAACTGACAGCCACCCTCAATGAATGGTGGACCACCCCCTCGCCTGGTCACGAGCCATGTCAAGTATGGAAACAGTTAACCAGTCATTAATTTCGTATTCTTTATCTATACATGATTTATTTAAGCCAGTGGTCACGAAAATTTTTTCAAGCAACCCAAATTTTGTAAAATATTGTGACCCAAGTACATACTCAAATTCTAAGCTACACGTAAGTACTTTTATGGCCGCAAAATTAACGACTAATATGAAACTCATAAGTACTTGCTTGTCCAAAGCCTTATTTAAAGAGATACCGGTACCAGGTTACAATGAACTCCATAAGAACTAGAAAAAACACAATAAATTTCCATAAGCACCATGATAACATAAAATTACAATACAGCATAAAAATTATCAAAAAATCATCTGTTTATATAGATAGATATATAAGACTTTTTCATATTTATCTCTGAGAAAGGAAAGCTGATAATACGGGTAAATCATATGGGCGATCAAGTCCTTTTATATAGTACCAACTAACAAGTCTTAAGTATGGTATGGGAATAGATAACCAGATAATTCTGTTGTATATACTTTAGAAAACTGGTATATTTTACACTTGCACGCTATATTCAATACATCAGCATAATATCAACCATTAATACCAGTCCAGCATGGCATTTCGTACCAATCTAGAATGGTATTTCACATTCTATACCAATCTAGCATGGTTTTTTAACATTTAATACCAATTTAGCGCGGTATTTCAGCATTTCACACCATTCTGGTATGGTATTTCAGCATTCAATACCAATTTAGCATGGTATTCAACATTTCATACCAATCTAGCATGGTGTTTCATACCTGAAGGAAATTTTTTAACATTTATTCCCAGATCCAAGAGAGTGGAAAGCCGATAAAATGGTTTAATTACAGTACAGTTACAATGATATTGAGCAATTTTTGAAAACAGAAAATGGCCCCCTCATTCAATTTTGGTCCGGTAAAACATGCATAACATATATATACTTAAAATTACATGTACCTTTCTCAAAAATTATACCAAACAAAAGTTTTTACAATGAGTATGATGTAATAAAGTAAAATTAGTATGAGAACATGGTTATATTATTATATCACAATATCATAGATTGCCACAATTATGACCTAATAATGATTTTCTCAATATATTGTTTATGACATCATATTGTAGTCATTTGATTGTCTTCATCGCTATTTTCCTCAATATCTAGACATCAGTATTTGTTCTGGAACTCGTGATGCCATTTGTTGAAATCGATGCGAAATGCGACAATGCTTCCCGATGTCATACCAGTGATAACGGTCCTGAATTAGGATAATATAATCTTAATCGAATATTTAATGTTTGTTTTATGCCCATTTAGAGATCTAAGTGACAGACTTTTCAATTTTTTCAAGATAAGATAATTTTCATAGGATTTGTAAATTCGGATTGAACACTATTAATATAAAAAAATAATTACATTGTTATAAAAATTTTCATTTTTGCATTACTTTGAGATTTGGTTTTATGTTATGCCTATATGAACTTTCCGCAAGAGGAATGCCCCTTTTCGACATTATCTCGAAACACTTTATAGGTTGAGATAAGACTTTCCATTATCATTCTGTTGGAAAGGAAAGCCATTAATTCACAAGTTGGTGATTCTAGGGCAGGGTGGTCTAAGGTTGTCCGCTTCTGGGGCCACAGAATCATTTTTGCATTGTTCGCGGGCCACAATAGTGCCAAGAATAGGTAAACAGTGCAATACAAAACGAACACTTTTATTGTGCCAACCCATGGATCAATATTTGTCATTTATCAAGCTAAAACATGCAAATACCACCAAAAAACTCTCTAAAACCTGCAAAAAGTCTTTCTTTATGTACATTTAGTTCAAGATTTCAAACTCTTTATAATGAAGAAAGCGCTCCCGCAAATGTAGGTGCTTTCGAACATCGATAAGATTCTCAATCTCTCTATTTTAGAAACTGTTCATTGCTGCAAATCTCATCTAAGGCCAAATAAAATCTCTTACTTCTGATCATGAGATATGTCAATATCCCTTATCCCGGCATCACATTGTGGGTAGGTGTACAAATGCTTCAATTTCCAAGAGTCCCAGACCTGTAGAATGCCCTTGTCTCCTCCAGTGAGTAAATAGTCTCCATCAGTGCTCAGTGTGATTGCCTGAAACACAGGTAATAATATCCATTTTTAAGAGATATATTAATTTATCCAGGGGAGGAGGAAAGGTGATAAGACAGCTTAATCATTATGTACAACCACAGCCTCTCTTCCAGTTACCAGCCCATGTCTGGTATGGAATTAGTTGACCAGTTAGGATGCAGCATTTGGAGGAAATCATAACCAACCATCGGTTAACCACTCTATGACATTGGCAATACTATCGCAGATTAGCGGCTGTAACCGACCAGCAGTTACATGTATTCCTAATGCTTAGCACGATGCGTCACACTGCCAAACTTCTCCAGAATACTCAACCATTATCCTATGTACTAAGACATGCATAATAGAGGAATCCGTAGAGCTACTGAAACTGTGAATGCTTTGGTCTGATTACGTTACCAGACATTTGTAATCATTGTGCCATTACCTGTTGTTATGTACTACTTATTATTTGTTTACATGTTTGTGTGAGGGTGCTACTTTGGTGCATTACAGTTTGTAACAGGCCTGAATTAAGGAACTGTACATGTGTATCATCTTCCTTGAGGGCAAATAAACATTACAGAAACTATATAAGACTACATTAGTTCAAGTCGATGCTTTTAATACGTTGTTAAATTATCCAAAAGTTTATTTCCACCAACCTTGATTCCATCTTCCAGTTTCCTATGCGTCAAGCTCCTTCCATTCATTGTGAAATTACAGACAAGTCCGTTCTTGTAAGCAACATACACGATGCCTTCGCTACTGAATTTCAAAAGATATGGACTAAGGCTCAATTCCCTGTAAAACAAATAAATTAGTCTATTTAGATATTTTTTTTCTTTTCTCAGAGTCTAAAGGCTCTGCACAAGAACCTACTAAAACATAATGATGGAATGAGCTCTTCTTTGACTAGTATGGCATTACCAACATAATTTGTGAGGTCATTTTTTCAACAGGCCTTCCTCTTCATAATCGGCCACTGATATCTATTGATAGGTGAGTATCTCAACTCTGGTATTCTTCTTAAACCAGAGTCAGAGTTAATTTTTTATAACCGAGAGTCGATTGCATATTTTCCTTGATTTCATTGCCCTGCTGATAGTAACCACAATAAAAATTTGATAATAACGGTGGCGCAGCTTGTCCTAGTAAGAATTATGTGTTCAAAATTTTCATGTAATTTTGTATTAATATTGTTTTTATTGACTATGATCATGCAAGTTACTACAACAAATTGCTGCTTATTTTCTCCATTGCCTTGCTGATAGTAAGCACAATATAAATTTCATATTTACGTTGCCTCGGCTTGATAATCGGCACTCCCGAAGTATTCGTACCAAGATGGCGCACAACCTTAACATAGTATGTGTACCGGGTTAGAGTTGTTCAGGATGTGCGTCATCTTGGTGCGAATAGTTCTGGAGCGCCTGATAATCAACTCGTGCTCATAGCAGCTTCCTTTCCCCAGTATAAGTATTTAACATTTTGTATTTATATCTTTTTTTATTTTGCTGGCTTGAAAACTATACTTCACTATGCCTATGCAAGGTACTACAACAAGGATCGGCAACCTACGGCCATCCGGCCCGCGACGCTCCACAGAATTATAGTAACAAAACAGCTGTTTTGACAATTATATTCTTTAAGTAATGGATTTTATTGTGAGACACGTGTAGACGAAATTATATTATAACCTAACAATTATATAATTCACAATACTCGTTTAATAAGCCCATAGTTTAATTACAATTAGACAAATGGCAACAAAACGCAGAAGACAAGTGCAAAAGTTTAAATGACGCCAAAAATATTCAAATGGAATTTTTTAAGATGCAATGCAATGAGGAAATATATCTATATTCTATGCGAGAGATGTATCACTGCTTGATTTTTATTATAAAAAGTATCATCCGTTTGGTTCCCAACTTTCTAAAAATATGTGCGGCCCGCCAATGACTTGCAAACCTTAATTTTTGCCCGCGAGCGACAAAAAGCTGCCGACTCCTGTACTACAACACAAAACACACAAAAAAAGCTCTTTCACTTACTTTTCCCCTATGGCCTCCTCACTCGGTTGTAGCGTCCTCAGTAAGTCTCCTGTGATTGTGTGCAGTAATACAGGTCCGTTCAATGAAGCGCTTGCTATAAGGCCTAGTTCAGCACAAACACTAGCAGCAATTAGTTCAGTATCGTGACCAGTGAGTACAGCTCGTGGAGATGGGTTCTCTGCTGAATTTAAAATTTTTTTTTTTGATATAAGACGTTTATTCCCGCATTTCGTTCCGAACAAGGCTACGTGCAAGCAGCCATTGGGTCCTATCGGTCAAGACGTTGAGGTATCACGATTCTGACTGTTTGTCAAAATGGTTAGATTCAGATTCAGATAATTTATTTTTATCATGCAAGAATCAATGCAAACACAACACAAAAGTGTATGACGGAATTGAAAAAGAAATTGAAATATACTCGTAAGAATTATCGTCAGAGATTCATTGCAATCGATAAGGGGTCGTGAAGGACTGTAACAGTCTTCGAGTCAGCGACACCTGTTGGCTGATTAATTCAGAAGGAAAAGACTAAAATATACTAATTATTATAATCGATTCTATTATTTTACAAATCTAATAACCAAAATTTTTAGACAACTCTTCTCTCGTCCGGGACAAGTTTCCACTAAAGTCTGAGTCATAATTAACATTCTGAATTACACCTTAATTTTGATTTCCACATAGTAGGGGAGTATAAAGTCAGACTTCAAGGGTGATAAAGGACGACGTCAATATTATCACTCAATTAGTTACTCAAAAAGAGTTAATGGCTAACAGACAATGAAGAAAGACCAGTTATGTGTTATCAAAATTTGATCTCCACAGAGTTGAAGTTGAAATTTTTTTTAACTCGAAATAAAACTGGAAATTTATTTTGACCAAAATTTGAAATTGAAAGTTAAATTTTTCCTCAATTCCTCTGGCCTGCTCTCCCCGGAATAAACAGCAAAACCCTATTTTAGCACTTTATTACCTGGACTTGACGAATCTCCAATTATTCTATTTCTTCTGCCATTCCAGTACCAGAGAAGTAGAGTGGCATCTCGTGAGCCCGAGACAATGTAGCAGTCGCCGCCAATGTAAGTATCGGAGCGCACAAGACATGTTACCACATCCCAGTGTCCGAATATTACTTGATTTAGCTTTCCTGTAAAAGGATGTGAGATTTTGTGTCAGAAAAGATAAAGCGTCATGACTTATTGGCGCCAATGAAAGTATCTGAGCGTATGATGCATGTTACAACGCCCCAGTGACCGAATAAAAATAAAATAATAAAAATGATGTAAGAATTCAAATCTAGGTGAAACTATGTAACATGCATTGACCTGGTAGCGGCAATATATATTACAACGTCCCGATGTTCAAATATCACTGTGTTCAGCTTGTCCGAACTGTCCGAAAAAAGTATGCGTTACTTGAAACATGGGGGGTGGCTAGTTGTCAATATGAGTATCAGAGCGCACCAAGCAAAGCAAGTAGAGTCACTTCCGAATTCATGAAAAACATAGCTTAAGTTAAGCAATTCCTGGGTTTTATAGAAATTTCCTTCAGTGAAGACACTTCCAAGTGTTTGTAAAACAAAACTTTTGTCACTTTTGAGTCTTGGTACTTTGATTTCTTTGGTTTTCAATTCCGAGGTTTTGAAAACTGCAAAAGTGAGTTCGTCACATCAAAGTATTCGAAAAACGGGCCTCGAATAAGTCACCTATTTATTTTTGAAAAAGTGTTACTCGTGCAACTTGAGTTTTTGGACAATTCAATAACTCGAGTCTCATCTCAGGTTGAGTGAAATACTCTAGTCTCCCCAATACTGTTAAATAAGTAAACAAGTACCCACCAGTATCAGTAGCAATAATTCGTATACTTCGATCCCAGTATCCACATGAGACAAGGTATCGGTTGTCAGCGGTAACCACGAAACAAGAACTTAGAACGCTCACACTTTGGTCGAGCATGTCGCTGATCTGACGACGACATAGTGCTCCTTGGGTGTCTGAATTGAATTAGTTGCAAAACAAATTTAAAATTTTGTAGAGTAAAATTCGTCGTTGGATAAAATTAGAATTATTTCGACGCTCCAGAAGTATGTGTAGCAATATGGAGGTAACTAATTTTGTTCGCCTACTTTACATCAAGATATGTTGGATGGGAACCTATGGGTAGGTGGTATATTCACTTGGTTAACACAGACAGTCCCCGAACTCGTTATAGAACTAAAATGAGGAAAATCAGAATAATATTATGGCCTAATCCCAACCTGGTACACACACTTCGGGAGTACCCATACGGGAACAGCAGCACGAGAAATGTGGAATCAAGGGTAGGTAATTCGTCACATGAATCCTGCAACCAAAAATAATTGCAAAACAATAACTCACTCATAAGCTGGTCTGGTTCAATTGGTAGAATTTGTTTCGACTGATCATTCGGGTTTTGCTTTGCTTGAGATCCTTGGACCTGAAAAAAGATTCGATATGAATAATGACTGGATGGTGTCTTACAGAACCCTTGACAAGTTAGGGGCGTTTTTACTGATATTGGTGTCAGATGAAGATGCATATTTTCAGACTTTCGAGATCCAAAGAAAATATTTTAATTTCTTCTTTCAAATCAATCAATTTGAAACTTCGACTCTGGCTCAGACAAGGTTATTTCACAGGATGTTTTCACATGGTTGAATTGTTTGAACACGATGGAATTTGGAATCTATCAATCATAATAACACTATAAATACCACTGGAATGAAAAAACAGGGGCCATGAGTGCTAAAAACCTCCAGAAAAAGGGCCACAGGCTATAAAAGCAGGGACATGTACGACAAGGGTTTCTAACCGGAGTCTACAGAGTAGTTGGAGCGAGACCACAATACTGGGCGAAAAACTGATTTCACTTTGTTGAGCAGGAATTGTTTGAACCTAATGAGATTTTGAATCTACCAATTAAAATTACATTATAATTACCCCTGGAATCATACCCCGGCACGGCGGTGTGGCGCATCGTGCTAAGCGTTAGGAATACGCTCGCCACCGCATCTCTGATTACCCTTCGTTGGATCGCAGGTTCGAATCCCATGCAAGGATGATCATGTGCGAGAGGATTGTGGACTCCTGGCCGCCGTAGGGTGTTTCACGTAACCGCTGGTCGGTTACGGCTTCCTCCACCATCAAGTCCATGCTTTTGATAATAAATAACTGGCTAACTAATCCCATACCCGACCTGGACTGGTAACTGGACGAGAGGCCGTGGTCCGCCTTATGATTAAGCCGTTTTATCGGCTTTCCTCTCCTCCGGGATAAATATGTAAATCCTATCCTATGATAAACAGGAAGGCTATAAGTGCTAAAAACCTCTAGAAAGAGGCCACATATCATAAAAGTTGGGACCACTGGTATAAAATAAAAAAGAAATCTGGATACCTGGTTCCATTTGTTGATACAGAATTGCAGGTTCTGTGTGCAAGTCACGACAGCTGGGTTATGCAGGCTGGGATGAGTGTTGGCTGCTACGTGAGTCACTGGAGAATTAGAAAGGAATTTGAGGACCATAACAACATCTTGAGACGTGGAATCTTTGAACATCATGGGTGTCTGTATAAAGTGTAAGGTTTTATATTTATTGTAGAATGGGGTGCTTACACTGGAGGCCAAAAAGCCATTAATTGATGAATTCTTGTTGGGATTTTTAAGTTATAAAAAAATTGACCAATTAATTTCAAAATTACAGTAACTTGAAGATTGAGAATAAAAAGCTAATACTATAATGCAGGGGTTCCCAAACCGCGGCCCGCGAGCCAAATCCGGCCCGCGTAACGATTTAAAATGGCCCGCCGAGCTTGTGTGAAATAGTGTTCAACAGATTTTATTTCTACCTTTTTGCGATCTAGATACCGCTAATTTATGTCATGAGTTCAAGCACGTGTTTATCGTAACAATTCAATTATACCAGTATATCAATTATATGTACCGGTATTAGGATTACATAGGACAGTAATTTAGTTATCAGCCATATAGGAAAGCTTAAAGATGTCAGAAATCAAACGAAAACTAGACTCAGAAAACTGACGTTTCTTGAATAAATGGCAGTGTTCGTATTTCTCCATTGAAAAGTATCAAACTTTAGAGATTTGTCTTCTTTGCCAACGAACTATTCCAGTTCTGAAGGAATACAACATTGAGCGCTATTATAAGTCAAACGAGCATGTTTCAAAAAAATGTCAAATGAAAGTGAATCCACTTTTGGGCGCTACATTCTTCCGGCCCGCGAACATCTTTCCGATTCTAATTTTGGCCCGCGGCCGATAAAGTTTGGGAACCCCTGCTATAATGGATAGGTTGTTGTGTTCTCGAAATGCTCAGGATTATTGTTGTCAAATACAGACATATCAATTTTAAATTCTCAGTACTCAAACAAGTAAAAATTTGCTGAAGACCAATACTCCACCTCAGGGGTCGGCAACCTTTTGTCGTTAGCGGGTCGAAATTAAAGGTTGCAAGTCATTGGCGGGCCGCACATATTTTTAGAAAGTTAAAAGACGAATGAATGATACTTTTTATAATAAAAATCAAGCAGTGATACATCTCTCGAATAGAATATAGATTTATTTCCCTCATTGAATTTCATAAAATTCCATTTGAAGATTTTCAGCGCCATTGAATCCTTAGCATCAACTTTTCTGTGTTTTGTTGCCATTTGTCTAATTATAATCTAATTATAGGCTCATTAAATGAGTAATTGTGCATTATATACTTGTTAGGTTATAATACAATTTAGTCTAAAGAATATAATCGTCAAAACGGCTGTTTTGTTACTATAATTCAGTGAAGCGTCACGGGCTGGATTATATCACTCCGCGGGCCATAGGTTGCTGACCCCTGCTCAACCTTATTTCAAGTTTTCTTTAAATCGTATAAGGCTCAATTTTCCAATTCAAATTTCTTCTTTTTTTGTAATTCAGGGCACACTTTCATGACATTCGGTATAATTCTTTAAACTTGTTTATTAATTGCAAGTGTAATAAACATTGGGAACACTTGGAAACTGACTCAGATGACCACACAGTCGGTTATATTGTTTATTACTTATCAATCTTAAGATCGGTAAGTATGTTGATAGGTATTTGTCTGTCTGTTAGATGCACGCGATATCTCACGAAAGCGAGTTGAATCTGCTCCAAATTTTGCATGTGCATCTACCATAGCTCGGACCAGAAGCCCATTGATTTTGGATGAATTATGTCGTATAATTAGTGAGTTATTAATTAATTAGTGATGGGACACACGGTGTCACTATGGAGTAAGAGCGCTGTTTTGGGAGATCCCCTAACTTCGATCAATAAGTCTTCGGTCTTCGACCGATATTCTCGTTTTTCAGTTAACACAAAATCAACGCCCTTTCCTACTTACCATATGCATTCTTGAACTTCTTGGAGGATGCGTCTCAGCTAACAGTTGACATGGGGTTTGCCCAAAGTTACGGATTTGATCCTTAAGTCCCATTTTCTCTATTGGATCCTAAATATAAATATGATTATATATTAATAATGTCCTATTCGAGGAATTTGTGAACTGTATTTCTGGCAACTAGCATTTTCCCAGATGGTGAGGCATGACCTTTGATGTCATCAGTTTCAGGTGACTGATCATGACCAACCACCTGTGAAGGTGATGTGGCCATGTGCACTCAGTAGTCTGGAGCACAGCTCAGTTGGTGTTGCTTATATCTGTATGTATTACTTTGGTTATTGCATTGGACATTTATTGCTGTTTGATTAAAACATTTATTAAATATACTTTGGAGTCACTTTAACAGAATTTATGTCAGTTTCAGTGTTTAGGCTCAAGTAGAATCCCTAAGTCCCAAGTTTCAGTTCGAGTTAATCATTGCATTATGTTAATATAGGATTTTTATCTTTTGATACCTGCATAGTTAAGTTAGGCACTTCAATTTTTGTGAAATAGGGCATTTTCAGTAACAGATTACACATAATGCAAAATTTTGTTTCCAATAAACACTAGTGGTTATCAAACAGTGGGGCATACGACACAAGGGGGAGTTAGAGCATTTTTGAGGGGGCGTGGAGCTGATTGTAAATAAAAGTACTTGTTATATTTGATCATGCCTACCTTAAGTTGGATATTTACACTCCTTTATTATGTACATCTATTCTCAGCTAGTTCTTTAAAAAAACATGCTTTCACCCTGTTAATTATTATTAATAGATTATTGTTAGCTATTGTATTTTAGTAAACACTTACAGTAATTTCATTCAAGTTGATGGCATTTTCATAAGTCAGATAATAGAAAACATTTGTTGCTCTGACTGCCTCAGTTCCGCGTTGTTTGTAGCCGAATATGAGATCTATCCATTGATGAAGTTGACATGATACTATCTCAGACTCCAATGCCTATAATAAGAATAGAATTTATTCCGTATATCATCTCATTTAAAGTTTTAAACAGTGTTTGAAACGCTAAAAAATATTATCGAAGGGGTCAGCTTATATGCTATGATAGCTTGGAAATCTGAATCAATGTAACTATTTGTTTATCCAGTTGCAGTCCATCGATAATTGTTATAAAACGTCTAAAATCAGACGACAATAATTGCTGTGCTGTAGTGTGCGTATGCTAACGCACATGACTCTGATCTTGGTTTGCTATGCTTGCAAGCATTTTTCAAAAGGAATTTTCATTTAAATAAATAATAACCCAAATGATGTTTTTGCTTTAAAATATCCCCATTTGAAACAGTAATTTCTTAACTTTTCAGAACTGATTTTTCAAAATTGCATGAAATTATGTTGTTATCATAACTAGATAGCAAAATTTATGCACTTTTTCAAATTTTTTTTTTCTCCTCCTGCGTAACTTTGATCAGAATAAAATCTATCATACCTCTGAGTGAGTGTACGCTCATAGATTAACATGGTTTAGCTTAGATGTGACTGCTTGCTCTCCCTCCCTCTCAAAAAAAAGAAATCCAATCCTCACCATTCGATGCTTCTTTACAAAATCATCAGCAGAATCAGCCCAAGGTGGAAGCTTGATATTGTCGATTTCTACTTTCTCACTGTTCACCCCGAGAGAATAATTATTGCTGTTCAAAAATATTTCAGGGAGATAGAAAAATTCTGGAATCAGTTCCTAGAATTAAAAACAATAAAGGAGTATTACTAACCCAGTAATCCTATGTTTGTAAGGGGTTACTGTTTTTCTAGAAAGACACAAAATACAAAACATAGTGTTTTTGAAGCCATTACTGTAAATATGGGAAGCAGGCTCAAAACTTTTGCACGGTATCTGTTCAGATTCAGATTCATTCATGGATCGTTTTTTAACCTTCGTACCCAATGCTCATATATTCGAGCTTACTCTCCTGTTACCTTGTATTTAGTTTTTGATGTGGATGAAATTAACTACGTTTCATTATCATTCATATGTAAATGTATGGCATTTATTATAACAGCGTCTAGTGTGGAACTAACGAGGGTCGTGGAAGTTAATGAGTAATCGTCCCAGGGCTGTGGGACATCGACACCTCGAACTGGGTATGTGGTGTGATTAAGCTTCTTTCCTGATATACTCACAACGTTATGTATGACAGTTTTTTTTTTGTTGTCTGTCCTGTAAGGGCTTGTTTCTCCCTAAGGAAAAAATTAAATCTTATCCTAAATAAATAAAAAGTCAAACTACCTTAACATCGTGCGAGTCTCTCTGACAGTTCTTCCATGATTGAAGAACAGATGAAAACGTACGGTCAGCGTGATCGAATTTTCCTCCTTGAAGGTTGAGAAACAGAGAAGTGAACGGTTCCTGGAATGAATAATGAGAATCATTTTAGGGCTCAATGCGAAGCTCGGCATGTTTTCACTGAAGTTAGTGTCATATTTTTAAACTCGCTAAAGTCAGGAGTTGTAGACGAAATTCCCAATTTCTAGGAATCTAGGAAGACAACCTATACACACACACACAAACCCAATAACCTACATCCACATTAAACATACAAATTTACTCTTTCACACATAGATATACAGAGTGTCCATAAAGTTTCTTCACAATTTAAATTTTGTTATGAAGTCAGTTCTCAATATATCTTAAGCTTAACCAGGTTCGTTGTTTTTTAATCAGTAATTGTATTTTCACTTCATTTAATACATCTGTGAGGGCCAATCCAATGAATGGTATCGATGAATTCCCTTTGCATTTTTAAAAATCATTAAGACTTCATGGACATCTTATATATGACACAAATACATCTACATTATTGTATTCTGTCTATACAATTATTTTATTTCACTCAGATACTAAATGGCGGCCAGTCAGTATTTTGAAAACTCAGAAGGTACTTCGAGCCTTTCACAAGTGGAGACTCAAGCTTTCCTTAACACTGCTGTCAGATCGTGAATTAGGCAGCAGGTAATCAGAAAATAGCGAAGCCAGCAAAAAATGAATCAACTATTGTAAAACCCTGGACACTCACCATTCTCATTAGCCATCCTAAAGTAAAAGCAGCATTTGAATAATGAGTTCCGTAATGAAACTTTGGAATATTCGCATCCTCCCATGCCTCGTATCTTGATTCAAAATAAGTCTTGCGTTTCGGATTCAATGCTCCAATTGGCTGAAAGTAAAGGTTACTATTAGTTCTAGTATTTTTTGGGATTGGGTATTCTAGAATTAACTGAGCATTTTTTTTTTGGAGTCCAGATCTGGAGCCAAATATTTTTCCAGTCTTTCTTTAAGTTGAGATCCAGAGCCAAATTTTTTGTCAAACCGCAGCCGGAAATGAAGCTAACTTTGTTTTTTGAATATTTGGGAGTCGGAGGTAATACTTTTATGATTCGTAACCCTTGGTCTACGAACAAATAATTCATAGTCGATTTTCAGAGTCTAAATCTGAAATAGTGAACCTACGCCCCGTGGGCCACTCCGGCTCGTTAGGTAATTCAATCTAGCCCGCCTGATACTGCCACAACCAAACTAAACCAAATTTTGATGTTTTAGATAAAATAGATCAAAGAAATTTGTTTAGATTGCTATTAAATTTAGTTTTCGCTCGTTTTCCATTTTTGTTTTTGTAATACTGTAAATATTGTATATAAAAATTCAACTTCTATGACACACTTATCAGTCTTATCAGTCTAGATGGGCAAAAACAGACTAAACTGAGTTCACATACCTTTGTCATGTCCCTGAAATTACTTGGAAGGGAAAGATCCAACTCAGCAGATTCATAGTTAGTAAGAACCCATGGGAACACTGGGTACTGGTTCAAGTCATTGTAGGTCCGACCTGAAAAAAAAAACAAAGTATATTAAGTGAATTGTTGTTGAAGGGTTATGGGTATCCTTTGAACCCAACACTAGGAACTTATGAAAACAAGGAAGTCATGTTAATTCAAGTTCTTTTATATTTATTCCGGAGACAGGAAAGCCAATAAGACAGCCTAATCATATGATAAACTATTCAAACTCACTCAGGGTAATAAGAGGTGTGATGTTGAGCGTATTCCTAACGCTTAGCGCGATGTGCCACACTGCCGAGAGTAAACTACGAAACAAGTGATGAGCACGACCATTATTTTTTAGTATTTCAGTGGTAGCATGTGGCTCAATTGCATAAAGTTTCTTTTACTTCTGAGTGAGTGTCTGTGACCTCACTTTACACAAATTCCCACAAACAATAAAAAACTAAATATATGTTTTTACCTGATATTGTGTTGAGGAACATTAAATACTCAAAATTGGAAATTTCTCTCTGCTGCCATCTCTGGGTCATGTTCGATTGCTTGAAAAGTTGACGTGGACTGGCAAGCGATATCCGACTGCAAAAAAACAAATTTTACAAATGAAATAGGTACTTTAAAATCAATATATTCATATTAGTAAATAAGAACATAAATTCTTTTCTGTGAAATATTACAAGTATATTTGCTTTTTTCAGATTACAAAACATTATATGACTTAATCAAACTACGAAGAATGTAATACAACGTCCGAGCATTCTTGTAGTAACCATGGTAACCATAGGTGTAGCCAGGAGAGGCCTGAGGGATGCCGATTGTTTTCTATCAGTGGCTGCTCGTTTATTAAAGCCTTCGATATTGAAATCATAATAAACATGACATGAAAATACCAGTACTCACGTTGTTTGTGGTAATCCATATCCAGTACCAATTCCAACTTTTGGAAGGAAATTCACAACTTTCTTCATGGTGGCTTGTTCAGGAAAGTTGAACATTACAGATGCTGTCAAAACAAACCAGATCTTATTTGCAAAGCAAAGGAAAGGTAAAAATCAATGAAGCGTAACTTGACAGAATATCCTTATCATCCCCAAAGAATGTATATCCCGACCGGAAAATTGGTAAATGGGCAGGAAAAAATCAACCAACCATAAGACATTAAAAAAAATCAGCACAATTTCACCCTGAGTAAAAATGCTTAAAATTTACTAATTCAGAATATACCATAGTTTTGATGAAAAAAAGTTGAATTTATTTCAAAATCAAAAATGCAAGATAGGACAATATCAACTTTTCGAGAACAAAATAAAGTGTAAAAATATCCCATGAAATGTTAAACTTACGGGCCTAGTGTAGTTCAGTAGCACAAGTACTTCTAGTGGGCTTGGCATGCCTATTTTTGCATATCTTATTCCTAACCCCCATCTGACTATGCCATCCGAAAATGCAGTCACCGCGACATCACAATCACGTTATAGAGCTTGCCAAAGTATAGCTACAATCATCCAAAATCTGATAATAAGAAACTCACTAACGACAGCGATCTCTTTCATATCGAGATTGTTACAAGAAAAATAGCTTGCTCGACTTCGGGTGATCGTCTGCACGTTTTGGACGACCATCTGTATATTATAGCAGGCTTCATCACGCCACTGTGACGTAATTTAGGATGACATAGTCAGGCAGGGGTTAGGAATGACATATGAAAAAATTGTTGGGTCACGTCCAATAGAAGTTATTGTGGTACGAAACTACACTACACCCAGACTTACTTCTGTTAGCCAGGAAAACTTCGACGGCGGTCGTCTGCAACAGATATCTTCGGGCAAACACTGCCCGTATCTCATGGAAGGACCATTTACCGTGTATTGCTTCAGTGTATTGAAGAACCTGTAGAAAAGATTGCAAGACGTTCAATAAAAATTGGAGAATGGAGTGCTACGTTTTTATATTGACATGTTTACGAAATTGTTCAATTTAATTCAATTTTGTTTATATCTATTTCCATTAATAATGGTATTGCTCTCCCTTACGAGGGAGGCCAGGGTGACTGGCAAATGTGCCACTTTTCTCAAAAATAAATTTTCCTAAAGTCAAAGTCAGAGAACTCCAAATTACGTTTCAATAGGGGTGCATATACAGTAAATATATATGATCAAGTCAAGTCCATGCTTCCGAAAACAAATACCTGGCTAACTAATCTTATACCCGACCTGGACTGGTAACCGGACGAGAGGCCGTGGTTCGCCATATGGATAAGCCGTCTTATCGGCTTTCCTCTCCCCCGGGATAAATATGTAAATGCTATCCTATCCTGATCCCAATTGCTATTCATGACCAATAGCCCTAACAAGAACTGATGTATAGGTTGCAAGACTTTAATCAAAGTTGGAATGACATGAACATGACATTTTTAAGCCTCCAATTGATATAATTGTTGTTTCAATAAGTTTCTCAGGAAATGGGAAAGAAAGGGAATTCAAAAAAAAAAAAAAAGTCGAGGAGTTAAACTTTATAACAACCCGTAGTCGAATCCTCGGGCCTCAGCCCCACAGTCCACGCTCCTAAACTTATGGAATCCCGTCTCAATGGTCACGGTGCTTGGCAGTGCTAGGAGTTTGTTATTTTTGTATATATTTGGTTTTGTTTTTTGTTCTGCTGTAAACTCTTTTTTCATGATGCAATGTTTGACTTTTTTCTCCTTTATATATTAATTACTGTTAGACTTAATCATAGGAGTCGCTACTCGTTAGCCAGTTTTGGTTTCTCACGCCGCATTTCACTCTGAAATGACATATTTTAGTCTCTTTTTTCTAATGTTCGCATAAAGTGTATTTTCTATATGGTGATAAAATAAATACTGATTATCGTCAGGCACATAAAAGATTGAGAAAAAAATAGAATGCGAGAAGTCTCTTATCACTCAGACTACGTCAAGGGAGATGTCATTCGTGAAATAAAACGTTTGAAATGTCACAAATAAAATGAAATTGTTTTGATTTCCAGACAGTACTATTTCTAATGGCTTCTTAATTGAATTAAACATTTTAAATTGTTTTAACTAATTAAAATTTTTCCGATATCGGATTTTAAGAATTATTTTATCTTTTGACATTTTGATTAGGAAATCAGAAATTTATTTTTATACGTTTGCTCCGTTAAAAGCTTCAGACAAGCAGAGGGCGTACAACATTGATAAAGTCCAGATTTATACTTTATTTTAGATTCTGCTTTTTATGAAGCGTTTTCCTACATATTCACTCCGAATAAGACAAGTACACGCGGCCACTGATACGCAAAGACTTTCAAAATAGGTAAAGAGAGGTACTGCCACTAATCACAAAAAATTACCAAGCTCAACTCGTTGAATGAAAAATCACCAATATTTTGTAAAATTTACAATTCACTTTCGAAAAATGGGAATCGTTTGGTTGACCTTAATATGAATTCGGAGTTTCGGAAATAACTTTCGGAATAACTAAATTTATTCATGAAGTGGTCGGTTTTATATAAAAATAACATTGATTGTGCGATGGAGCACTCTCTATGTACGGCTGATATCAGAGCGCTATTTTGCTGTCGAGACATTAAAAAAGAAAATGTGGGCTATCGAATTAAATAAAATGCCCTCAGCTCATTCAACTATCTTTGTTTAAACCAGGTCTATTTGGAAGTTAAATAACATCTCGCTAAATTACCGGTAGATGGATCACCAGTTAAGAAAAGATCGCCAGTGAAAAAAAACAAGAAATTCTAAGGATTCAGGTGATAAATAGGAGAAGCATAATCGTTAACAATATTGATATTCAACGCAATTTCGTTTGCATTTCCTGTTGTCCGTATTTCAGTCATAGCATGTTTTCACTTTCTTGTGCATGAATTGTTTTATCATAACAGAATTTGGGATCAACCAATCAAAATAATGATATACGTACTTTTGTACTTTTCGAATTGTAACCTTTGTAGTTGGTTGTACATTAATTACCGTCCTAAATTAAAATTAAACCTCTCTTTTGGCTTGTTTCTGCGATAAAAGTGGGATATCACAAAAATTGTAGTGTAGTTTTTTGAGATGGTGAACAGGGGGCACACGACTGCTTAAAGCCGCAGGAAGGGGCCACGCCCACGAGCCATGAAAGGTTGGGTACCACTGGCGTAATAGATGAGTTAGGCGATACGAAGCAAAAATATTCCAGATTGGTATAAACCTAAATCCTTACATAACGTACAGTGTCTCGTTAGCCGCGAAAGACGTACCGTAAATGAGTATCCTATATCTTATTCTCATTATTCTTCACTCTGACATGCTTGAACCATATTACTAACTACCCGATCGAAGACCGAATCGTTTGAAAATCATTTTTCGCGAAACTATGACAACTATCGGATCCTTACTAAAAAATGATGATTTTACAATTAAATTTGGTATTCCCGTAGTATGTGCAACAAGAATGCGGACACCGGAACGTAGTATGTGTACCAAGTTAGGGTTAGGCCATAATCTCAGGTACAAATACTACGGTAGTCACTTGACTAGTCCCCGAACTCATAATAGAACTAAAATAACGAAAATTGGAATAAAATTATGGCCTAACCCTAACCTGGTACACATACTATGTTCAGGTAGGTGTCCGCCACCTTGTTGAACATACTACGGGAGCGCCTTAAATTTTAAATTTTTTGTTGCGGGGACGAGACTTTGTTTAACATAAAATCAAAAATATATTTAATAGAATTAATTGATATAAATTTCGCGAGATGAACCAGCTCATTTGTTTTAATCCCCGCACAGATTACGCTGCAAATCCAGAATTTCAAAAAACAAACAACGAAACCACATTGAATATTCAGGCCTATGTATAATTTAACAGCAAACCCTCTCGGGACAAGGGATCGGTTTTTAAAATTTACCATGCATGGCCCACGGGTGTTTTAAATTTTAGAGTTTTGTGTATGATTGGGCCATGTTTAATCAGTTGGTGATTAAAAACTTTTCTTTGTAGCATAAATAGCCATTTTGATCGCGATATATCTGAGATTTGGCGGCGCATTGCGCAATTAACGGTGTATCTTGACATTTGTGATGATAAGAAGACGAACCTGGTATTTTTCTGCTGAGCTTGTCGTGAATTGGGGTGAATTAGGGCTTAGCATTTTGTGTGTCTCTGGCTCCGAATAAAGCTCTAATCATGAAGTCAATGCTGTGCAAGGCACTATTTCATTTTAGATCTTTCCGTTCGCCGTGAGTTTTCCGTGAGTGTGAGCATTTTTAATGCGATGATTTTGTTAGTATATTCACGGTACAGCGGCGTAACCAGAAAGGGGGTGGTCTGAAATGTCCTATTGCCAAGTTGGAACGTATTAGCTAGCGGATTCATGAGACGCTCTTTAGAAGCTTTTTGCTATGAACAGGTATCTGCACAACGGCCACTGTCATTTACTTTTCTTTGGCGGTGATGAAACCTGGTATTATTGCGATGAGAGTTCATCGTACATGGTGGTATTTTTAGGCGGTGCTTTCCCATTCCGTTCCGAACAAGGCTTTGTGATTGTGGCCACTGTCGTGCAAGTCATAAGTTTATATATTGGGTCCAAGCCCCTCGACCCGCCCCTCCTTCGTGATTGCAACCACTGATAATATATTTATGTATCAGTGGATGCATATTCAGAGCCTTATTTGAAATGAATGTATATAAGGCCTCAAAAAATCCTAGAGTATAATCGGTAGTAGGTACAAGGCCTTGCACGAAGAGACACTAATTATGATAACGCCCGTTTGGTTATTTGAATTTCAATATCCTTCATTTTATTGTAAATATACTACTAAGAATATGGGGCACAAGGTACATGGGAGGTTTGGTTATTCAGAAAACTGTTAGTTAAGGTAATGAATTTGTTTTAAAAACTTTTAATTCAAGAATTTAAATTATTTAAATTTAAATTCAAATTCAAATTAATATTTGTTCCGAGTAATACTTGGTGTTGTAAGTAACCCGTGTGGAGAGATACACTCAGCGAAACGGCAATTTCTTACTCAAATTCTAGTTATATTTGTTTTACTTTATACCAAACTTGTAAGTATACTAACATTATGTCGTTTATAAATATTTTTTAAGTTACAAAAGTCTGGAATCAAAAACCATCTTGAAAACATTTCTCCGATCTCGCAAACGCAAGGTTTTTTAATATCATTTAATCATTATAACCAAACTTTAAAGTCTAATAAAACATTCTGAACATTTATAAATTATCCCAATTTCTTTTATATAAATTTCAATAATAATTGGTTTAATTTCAATTAAATTTTCAAATTAATACCATTTTTTTTCATAAATGTAATTTCATAAATAATTCCTAAAAATGTACATAATACTCAGAATTGAAAGCTATCTTAAAAACAATCTCCCGATCTCTTCAGACACGTAAAATACTTCGTTGAATATTTAATTCGGGTAGCAGATGACAGCGATTGACAGGGAATGCGGATACATTGTTACGACACAATACCAAAACAAGAAAAATGGTAAGGGTCGTCAGCGAACGTTGCAAAAATCCCGAGAGATTTTTGTCTCGAAAGATCAAAAATTCAGGACAAAAAAGTCGATAAAAGTTACTTAAACAAGCGTGTACGGTAGAAAATAAAGCATTTTTATGCTAGAATAACACACGGTCCTCTTCTTTAGCGTATAATCCAAAATATGGTCTAATTAGAACCACTGTTGTCGTAAAAGACATGAGTCTCATGCTACATTAGCTTAAAACCCACTCGACAAAATTGAGTTGTCATTTTGTATCATTCTGTAGTCTGATGACACGAAAACAAGGAGATAATTCGACGACTAATTATCGGAAAGACAGCAAATTACAATCCCCATTAGAATAGAGAGTCG